TATAATGCTTGGTAACAAAGTTTGTAATGATAGATACTTTGTATTTTCCTCGTCTCTGAAAAGTTCAGTCATGTTCAAGCAATTCAAATAAATTGAGTCTATTATTAATCGATGTTTCGGTTTTGTATTTTGACATACTTGTCCCGTTCGTCTGTGGTGTGTGAGACAGATAGAGAATGATTCATTGGTCGTGAGGGAGGCAGATAGCACGTATACTAAGGATGTGAGTGAGGTGGAAAGAAGGAAGAGAGAATTTGTATCGGTAAAGAAAGATGAAAGGAGTGGATGATAACGGGGAAGAAAGCTGAGAAGATGAGCTATATAAATTATGACTTCTGAGATGAAACAGCGGATTTTGAAGTAATTGAATAAAGAACATAAAGAACGATAAATTAGGAATTACATACATGTAGTTAGCCAAAGTCTTAAAAACTAGGCCTATACGTGATTTGCATAATATATACAGCCAAAAGTTTAAACAAAATAATGCTGATTGGATTGGGAATCAATGGAGTGCAATTTTGTGAAGAAATGTTCAGATTATATTTTGATACATTATCCTGAAGATCAAATGCACCAATTCGAAGAGAACAACAGTTAGATCCCCCCTCCTCCTCAAGTAAATAATATTTCCTTTGACTACCTCCTCACATCCCGAACATGGTCCAGTACCCTTGTCCATAGAATACAACAGAAAATAGACGATCAATCAAAAATCAGCAACTAAATATCAAACTATTGCTCAACAGAATGAAAGGAAGGTTTATTTCATAACTGATGATTTCACCATTAACTGATCTACAGGATAATTTTCTTTCAAAACTGAGTCTCGAACTATTTGCTCCTCCCCTAGCTCTCTGGTCTTCCTCCCTAGTCCTATGAGTAGAGGAGGTACATCCATGGATAGTAGGTCCATGGTACATCCAGAGGATGACTCATCTCAAGAACTAGGTCAATCACAAGTTGAGAAAACAACAAAAGAAATAAATCACTATCATGCCATGCTACCAGTGGGAGGTGGAGAAGTCCAGCGGTAGAGTCATTACCAAGGGGGCCCAGAGTGTCGGGGTAGACGAGGACTGGTTTGCTTGACTGCGGGGGATCATTTCGCTCGAGTAGGGTGGTATAGTTTTGTTTTAGACATCGCCTAGAGCTCCAAACAATGCCAAGTTTAATCCAGTGTAATATCAAAGCAATTCGTTACATTTTAATTTCAATTTTATAGAACAAGGCTAAAGAATCAATAGAAAAGAAAATCAACAACTTATTAGTCTACACCATGCAGAGCTTCAAACAATGCCAAGTTTAATCCAGTGTAATATCAAAGCAATTCGTTACATTTTAATTTCAATTTTATAGAACAAGGCTAAAGAATCAATAGAAAAGAAAATCAACAACTTATTAGTCTACACCATGCAGAGTCATCCGCGAATCACTAAGCATAACCAGTAACCAGTCTCATTTTAATATTATACACACATCTTATTTATGAGATTTGGAAACCCATCACGTATTTTTAATTAACTTTATTTTAGGCTTTAGATAACGAGAGTCAGACTCGAATAGCACATTTGCTATTTTTTACTCTATTTTACCATCGATCACAAACTCATTGTAAATAGTCATTTATTGTTTTACTCTTGAAGCAAAGTTTACTTTATATTTGTCATAATGTTCATGTATATCGCTGTAAAACATGTATTTTTTGTAACTCATGTCATGCATTTATGTTATATTGACATTGTCATTGTACATTTATCTTTTGTTTCAATGTTTTCAATGGTAGTGAATAAATAAATTCAATTCAATCTACAAGATGGAAGATGGAGGGACAGAGCTAAATAGGACATGGGATGAAAAGTATGAAAGGGGTTAAAAAGAGTGTTACTATTGAGAATAAACGGTCGGAAATGAGGTCATAAAACTATTTGATTTATGAAGCCCTTAATCCTATCAGCGTGATAATAATCGTAAATAAACATTGGGGGCGCCATGGGTAGGGGCATCCCTCGGGTCAAACATATTGCCAACAAGCCCCTAGAATTGGACTATGATTAAAACTCTTGAAATAATTCTTATTGTCCTTACACTGTAAAAAAAGGAACGATGATTTTGAAGAGCTGATTTTTAACACGATCATTTTCCTACCGTATGAGTGCCATCTGACAGATGTAAACCCATGCTTTGTAAGTACAAAAATGAAATAATTGGATTGTACCTTTTATCATCCCATGAATCTGGAAATTGTAAATGTTTGTATCTCATTTTTATTGGCGGAACCACATAGGAGAAATCCGTAAGCAATTGACATAGTGATAAATGGTATCTAACCATTTAATTATTATCTCTATCATATAAGAATATGTATGTATTTATGTCTATGTTTATTTCTCTGTAACTTCTGTGATTTTTTATATTATATTTGTGGTTGTCTTCCTTTTTATCTTTAAATTTTTCTTTTGTTTCTGCAATTCTATTTTTGCTTTTAATTGTTATCTTACACTCTTCCAGTATATCATACATGTGAAATGTACACGTCTGTGTCTGTACATTTTATGTTTAAATTATTTAAGTCAGAACTCATTTGAGTTCTAAAAACGGTTCAGATGTGATTGACATTGCAAAATTTGTCGTAAACCCATGACCCCAAGTAACCCTCCAATTAAAACATATTGATGTCATTTTAGGGAGATATTTGACCCAAGATCATTGGTTCCATAAACGTCGCAATATGCAATAATTACTTGGCTCCTCCCTCAAGCAATGTTTATAATAATACTCGCATGTAATGAATGGAGAGAGAGAGAGAGAGAGAGAGAGGGGGGGGGGGGGGGAGAGGGAGAGAGGGAGAGAGGGAGAGAGGAAGAGAGAGAGAGAGAGAGAGAGAGAGAGAGACTTGAACTTAAAGGTGATAGACTGTATTTGAAATTTGTCACACTAATTAAATGCGTTATTTATATGATATAGAACCTTATTTTATTGATTAATGACCGCCTTGTAAAACCTAAACAAAAACAAACACAACTTAAGTATTATCGGTATATATACAATAATCCTGAAATATTTCACAAGTCATTTGTAAACACAACATTTCAATTCGAAACTATATTCCCTTTTATAAATACCAAACCACTATTTTATTTTAGATGCTGCGTACCATATCTATCTAAGTGAGGTCTCTTTTGGTCGAAATCTGATATAATTTAATTATGAATCAATCACATATATTAGGTATTATATGGACGTATAGACGTAGCTTGTTTTTTGTCTTCAATAAAGCAGAAATTAAAGTTAACTATCAAATGCGTTCTTTTCATTATTCCTAGGCCTATGTTCTTCTGCGAGCATGAACAAAAAGAGAAAATGATAATATAATTGTACATGATTGTCAAATAAAATGTGACATATTCGGGCTTGGCTAGCTTTAAATGCATAGCTAGTGTTTTGGTTTGAGGGCAACCCACGCGTCAATGAAAGGTTTCGCCCTAGAGCCAGTGGAGAGACCAATGAGGTGATGATGCCAGTAGGCTCGGCCACTAAACTACCCAGAGTCACCATCAAGCCACGCGCGGCAAATTTGCCGTGTACGTTATTGATGATGATTCAATTTAATTTGGTAATTAGCTACGTTTAGGTTATAGACGTCAAGAAAAGGAAGACTAACATGAAATATTTACAGGCTTGCGGAGTTATGAAACTTAAAAAGAATGTTCGTCACTTTCCCCTTACCAGTATTCACCATTCTCTTTCATATTTGCGTTAACACTAATGAGATAAAATGCTGGCCAAACTGAACAAGATTGTAGGCACTTTGAGCAATAAAAAGAATACTCATTTGCTATACATTCCTCTTGAGTATTTTTCTAAAAAATGTAAAAAATTACAATAATTTGATTTGCCTTATATAAGGATAGGAATGGCTTCATCTTGAAAAAGTGTGTTGAATGACAATTATTTTTGTTTACAATGATTCGATATACCCGGAAATATAAAAAGCATTGCTAGATAGTATATGAAAAATTACAGCAAATTGCATTATTACATTAAAACTACAACTTTGTTGATTTATAGACCTCAGCCTCGATTTCTATTTAAAATATGAATATTCCTCACTTAACAATGATTACAAAATAATGATAATGACGATTCTATTCTATTTGTATCATCAATTTGTTTGCAAGTATGGAATATGTAATAAATTATGATCTTAATTAAATATATATTCTATATTACTACTACTAGCCTGCTCCTTACGCAATGTATTTCAATTGCTGTAATTCATGGAATATTACAAATCTTGGCCAATAATGATTATATTATGACTGTGCGGCTGTGCCTATTGATACACTATTGCTTTCACATGTTGTGTTTGTAGAGTATTCTGGAAAATAGAATAATATAACCATCTTTTGAAAGTTAAATAATAAGCAGTCATTTTGACATCTGGTAGTCAGCTAAGGTTTCATTCGTTTATAGCTAACACATCCTTTAAGGACCACGAAGATGTACATGATAAGATGATCAGACAAAGGGCCGTGTTAAAGAACTTAAACTAACACAGTCTCTCTGTTCTATATAGTTTTTTAAAAAAGTATTTATCAGAAATTACATTATCGACTGATGCATTTATATTTCATCCATACTTTGTAAGCAAAATTTATTTTCATGGATGTCATTGCCCGTCATAGCAACAACAAATCATGCAACGTGGATTCAATCCATCCTTGAACTTAATTAATATGTTAACCACTTCATATCTTCGTACTGTTGGTTTTTTGTTGCCTTAAGTTTTTAGAACTTATATATAATTTAAGGTGTAATTTCATATAATTATGATGGGCACATTAAGCATATTTAGGGTCCATGATTTAAGTAAATACTTTTACATTGGCGATTAATTTGGGAAGAATGTCCGCGGGGTGCATGTTAGTATACGATGGTAATAATAATCGGAAATTGGAATTTTATCGTTGAAATTCAAAAAGAGTTACAATTCTCACCTTGACCGGATGAAGATATCCTTGGGCCTTCAACCGATGATGCTTATCAAGGCATGCCGTTACATCTTCTCCCGGAGAGGTTAGGGGAGGAGGTTGATCCTTATCAAGGGTCCTCATCAGGTGAGAGATATACGTGGTTGCTAACACAAGAACATCCAGCTTGGAGAGTTTGGTATCAGGGGGTACGGATGGTAGAGATCGCTGCAGCTCAAGGAACGCATCTCGAAGGGTCTTGACGCGGGATCGCTCCCGTGCTGCGTTCACCGGGTCGTTCGGATCATCGATGCCGTCAGCGGTGGCGGTGGCAGCAGCAGATGCAGCTACAGCGGCAGCAGCTTGAGCTGTGAGTTTGTTGCTGGTTCGATTTGTACTTCCAGCTGGGCGACCACGACCTCGTTTAGGCTTGACATCGGTCGTACTGCCCGCTGTTACTATGGTTACAACATTGTTTTCTCCCGGTGATGAAGTCGTAGTTGGTCCACTCTTCGTGATCTTGTCGGCATTCCTCTTTCTACCTCGTCGAGTAGACTTGATGTTGGTCGTCTTTGGTTTCGATGTAAGCTCCGTTAGGACGGGAGAGATCTCCTCTAGTTTATCCATGCTCAGAGATGGGGGTTCTAAAACCAAGCTCTCAAGAAAACTCATATTCTCTGCTCCTGTCTGATCCGCCATAATAAATTGTTCACTTAATCTCCCGTGTAGAAATGCGGTGAAATGATGTGATTTAAATTGCAGAACTTTGGGAGATCCTAAAACACACTTGTACCTTAGCTGGCTAATCCCCAATAATAATCAGAGAGATATGATTGATATCAGTCCACATAGTATCTCCTTGTTAATACTAACCCTATTAAAATTATTCCAATACCAGTTCAGTTAAGATTCAAGTATTTGATGATGACCTTATCCGCGCTGCTCTACCTGTGCACGGCTTTCACTCGCTTAAGAATAAAGAGCCCTCGATCCTCACGATAATTAATTAATTTCACAGCTTCTGTTAAAAGAAAAAAGTTTTCAGACGAATACTTTACTCCTCAACTTGAAACCATAGGCTAATGATGAGTTCAGTCACTAATAGAAAGCTTTAGACGATGTTTCATTTCTTCCTCGCTAACATCGACTGAGAGATGATGACCGTGATGTCGATGAGGTTGTCGGTATGACGTTAATGAAGGGAAATGACGACGTCGACCACGAAGGCATGTGAATTTCACGATCAGTTTAAATCAAGACAGGGTACGAGATTTCACAATTCACTGCTGATTATGAATAAGACTTTTATGAAGAAGTAGTGCATAAATACCACATACTATAGATGGTTGTTTATTCCAATATTCATTTCGAGAGCATTTTGAGAACATTTTTTTTTTTTCAAGAGGCCCTATCCTATATTCTTCAGATTTTAATATCAATTTTTTCCTATTTTCTCTTGTCTTCATTAAAATTGTCTCACATAATGATGAAGTTTTATGCAGATTAATTGGCTATGGGCTATCCCTGAGGTTAGTCGGTCGTGTCGATGGTTTCACGTTTAAACGCCGTTCTGTCGAAGATGATGAGAAAGTTACGCAGAATGAAAACGCTGCCCGAACCAGCCGAGCTCTAGTAAATGAAGTGGTACGTGCAGCTCGGTCTGATCGAGTTCTCTCTCTCTCTTGCTTTGGCTCCCCGTTGAGCTGAGGAGAGTGAGAGAGAACTCAGATTGGGTTGGAGCCTAGCTGGTATAGAGCGGTGTGAGATGGATGGATGACGGGAGGAGTATAAATCAGAAACCATGACAAGCAAGGCGGATGTAGCCTACATCGACAAAAAGGTTGCAGAGCTGTCTGTGTCATAATTATGTGAATTAAACATGTTATTGGCAGAAATTGAATTTAGGCCCTCTGCGGCAGGTTAGAAGAACGTGGTAGCTAGGGAAACGAATTTGTAGTTGTTGGAAGAATGTCGGAAGGCCTACCAGTTTTCAACCTCCTTCATAAGCTTATAAGCTCCATAACAGGCAGAAAGTGAACTCTATACTATGACCTCTGTTAATCATCGCTTGAATATGTTCATCGGAAGTCTTCATGTGATTATGATATTATAACTATAATGGAAACAATTGGACATTTTCAGACTGAGTCAATTTGTGCTACACGAATGTCGGTATGTGGAACATGTGTGACGATAATCGCATCGAGATCATTGCAAGGGATGGCATAGGTATGTCATTAAGTATGTGTGCACATTAAATGAGCAGAGACTTGAAAGAGCGATGAATAGAGCAAAGAAGAGCTGCGTGTGGAGTGTTTGGAACGAGTAGCCTAGTCTAACGAAGTTAAGCAGTTACACTGAAGTGATGAGTGACAGTGATAGAAAGGTGTAAAATGAATTTACACAGTAGCAGACGACATAACCTACACAGTAATAGATCTACACTACAGTAGTCTAGGATGAAGACTAGTCACTGTCTATGTCAGATATTATTTAGACCCAACTACAAGTATTCCCACAGGGCCATATGGCATTACATTAGTTGAAAACTGTGGCTTTAGTTTATGAAGAATACTAGCCATATAGTTATTGCTTCACTTCAGAAGTTCAGTTGAATTAAGTCAGTCATGAATAGTGCGACGTATGATCCACTATTTAGTGGTAATCTGGATGATGACCAGGGACTATTTGAATTTGGATTGGATCTGGAAGAAGCCAGAGGTACTAAAGATGATGTTGGGAATGTACCACTAATTGAACCAAGTGATAGTATTTCAAATGTTGGTGCACCAAGATTTGCACCCAAGATGAAGAGTTATGAGTCACACTCGGTTGTCAGTGGGGCAAGCAACTGGAGTGCTGCATCTCGGGCTAAAGTCGAAGCAGCAGCAAGCCATGCAGAACTCAAAGTAAAGGCAGAAGTTCTCAGAAAGAAACATGAACTAGAAAGTGAGATACAATTACTGCAGAGAAGGAAGGAGCAGTTAGAATTAGAAGCAGAAGTAGCTGCAGCAAGTGCAAGATTGGAAGCTATTCAACAGGTGGAAGCTTCACAATACCAAGGTCAAGGTCAAGTTCAAAGACAGCTTGCAAGTGAAACTTCACAAAGACAGCCAGGATACATTCCTCCTTCATCTGTAGCTCATGAGAGAACAACTCAACGTGCTGATAATGTACAAGGTGAGAATCAGCCAGTGTTTGACCTTTCAGCATATTTAATGCAACAAACTAATGTAATTCAAAGACAAAATGACCTCACCAAGGTTCTAGTGGAATGCCACCAAAGAGCATCATTGCCTCAGAGAACTTTGTTACCATTCAATGGAGACCCGTTGCAATACAATTCCTTTATGAGAGCATTTCAACATAGTGTTGAGGAGAAGACTTCGAATCCTAGAGACAAGTTATGTTATTTAGAACAATTCACGAGGGGTGAAGCTAACACCATGGTCCGAAGTTGCATGTACAATGCAGATCCTGAGATAGCCTACAAGCAGGCCAAGGAAGTTCTTCAGAAGAATTATGGCAACAAATACAGGATTACAAATGCCATAATCAAGCGTATGGAGGAGTGGCCAGAAATAAAGACCGATGATGCAGAGAAGCTCAATAACTTTTCGCATTGCTTGACCGAGCTCCTGAACACTGCCAAGGATTTGAAACAGTGCAATGAGATAGATCATTCTAACAATGTCAAGATAGCTATCTCCAAGTTGCCATATCGCCTAAGGGAAAAATGGCGCCATACTGCTGATTACATTCAGGAAGAAAAGGGAAAGTGTATCCAGTTTGAAGATGTGGTGACGTTTGTGGCCAAGGCAGCTCGTGTGATATCTAACCCTGTGTACGGAGACATTAAAGGGCCACAAAGAAGAAGTGACACTACGCATTCCAATGTTAGCCAGCCCGGAAAAAGGAATGAAAGACAAGGCTTTGCTACAAGCATTTCTAGTCAAAGGTCAAGTTCTGACAAATACTGTCTTTATTGCAGGGTATCAACGCACGATTTGGAGACTTGTAGAAATTTGGGAGCCAAACCACATGAAGAACGCATCGAGTTTTGCAGATCACAGGGCTTATGTTTCTCCTGTCTCAAGAAAGCATCACATTTTGCAAAGGAGTGCAAGAGTAGGCTGAAGTGTACATTGTGCCAAAGGACGCATCCATCAGTACTGCACAGACAATTTCAAAAGGGAACCTCAATTCCAAACCAAGATGGTGTTCCAAAGTCTCAGAAAGAAGTTCCAGTACATAAGGACACAGTACATGAAGACACTGATGCTACTTCTACTAACAGTGGAACCCCCGCTACAGACAAATCAGAGAATGGTGTAAAACGCACATTGTCAAGTTTCAGCAGTGGATCCGGCAGCCTCCCTGTTGCGATTCCCGTAGTGGTGCGCTCAAGGGAAAGTGGAAAGCAAATACAGACATATGCATTTCTGGACAATGGAAGCAATGCAGTTTTTGTTAGCCAAGACATGAAGGACAGGCTCCAGCTATCTGGAAAAAGGAAAAACATACAATTGCAAACCTTGACACAGAGTAAGGCCGTAAACTGTGAAGTAATCAACGATATAGAGGTTCTAGACTTAAAGCAGGAGAACAACCTTCAAATCAGAGAAGCATTTGTCCAGCAGTCTATTCCAGTCGGGAAAGAGGAAGTTCCAACACAAGCCAAGTTGACGCAGTTTCCATACCTCCACCATATTCAGTTGCCAGAAATTGATGAGGATGTGGGCATACTAATTGGAAATAACATTCCAAAAGCGTCAGAACCGCTTGAAGTTATCCACAGTGAACATGATGGTCCTTTTGCATTTAGAACCTTGTTAGGTTGGGCAGTGTGTGGTTTATCTAAGTCTGACGAGTCACAAAGGATCTCCGCTCATCATGTTTCGGTCCAAGCAGATATTAATCAGCAGCTGGTAGATATGTTCAACCAAGACTTCAGTGAAAGGGTGATAAATGATAAACCTGAGAAGTCAAGACAGGATAGGCAGTTTATAGACTCAGTTGAAGGATCTATTCAGCATGTAGATGGGCATTATGAGATTGGTCTGCCTCTAAAAAGCCAAAGTATGAAGATGCCTAACAATAAACCTCAGGCTGAACAGCGTTTAGCACATCTACAGAGGAAGTTCATGCGTCAGCCACAATTTCACAGAGAATACAAGGACTTCATGCACAAGGTAATAGATAAGAACTATGCTGAAATGGTGCCAGACAAGGAACTTCAGAAAAAGAATGGTGAAGTCTGGTACATCCCACACCATGGTGTCTACCATCCTCAGAAAAGGAAACTACGAGTTGTATATGACTGTGCAGCTGCCTACAGGGGGCAGTCCCTAAACCAAAATCTTCTACAGGGGCCGGACCTGACAAATAGCCTGTTGGGTGTTCTGACCAGATTCCGTCAAGACCACATTGCAGTCATGGCAGATATTGAGGCGATGTTTTCTCAAGTAAGACTACGGAAAGAAGACAAGGATCTCCACAGGTTTTTGTGGTGGCCTGATGGCAATATCGAACGACCAATCAAGGAGTATCGCATGAATGTCCATGTATTTGGGGCCACCTCCTCACCAGCGTGTGCCAACTATGCTTTGAAACAGACAGCAGAACAGTGTGAACACGACGAAGTTGCACATATCATACAACACGACTTCTATGTAGACGATTGTCTATACTCATCCTCTACTGTTGAGAAGGCTGTAGAGCTCTCAAAAGGGCTACAAGCCACATGTGGAAGAGGAGGTTTCCACCTCACCAAATGGAACAGTAACCATAGGGCAGTTTTGCACGCAATACCAAAGGACGAGAGAGCCAGCAGCGTTCAACAGCTAAACTTTGAAAAGGACAAGCTTCCACAGGAAAGAGCTCTTGGGATACTTTGGAATGCTGAAACAGACTCATTCGGCTACAGCATCAAGATCAAGGATCGGCCGCCAACAAAAAGGGGCATGCTATCAATCATCAGCTCAGTGTATGACCCATTGGGTTTTGTGTCTCCTGTGATCTTAACAGCAAAACAACTACTACAAGACCTATGTAGACTCAAGATAGGATGGGATGATGAGATACCAGCCAAACAGATGAAATTGTGGCAAGGCTGGTTAGAGGAACTTCCGATGTTGTCAGAGTACAAGATAGAAAGATGTCTGAGGCCAGCCTCATATGAGCAAGCAGAATCTATCTCCCTCCATCATTTTGCAGATGCCAGCGAGGTTGGATATGGGACGGTCTCCTACCTCAGAATGGAAAATAGTGAAGGAGAGACCAGGTGTTCATTCCTGCTGAGTAAATCAAGAGTAGCACCCCTTAAGCAAGTATCTATCCCGAGAATGGAATTGACTGCTGCAAGCGTGGCGGTGAAGATAGATCAGGTGATCAAAAGGGAGTTAGAGATACCAGTCAAGAGGACCTACTTTTGGACCGACAGCCAGACTGTATTGCGCTACATTCACAACTCAACAGCAAGATTCCAGACATTCGTA